GCGACAGTGAGAAATCTTCGTCGCTGACTCTCGTCGTTGTCGCCGTCGCTCGTCTCGTCGCACGCTAAATCGCTTACATGCGGGTCGGTTTTACGGAAACGAGCGCGCAGATGCAGCGAGGAGCGCGACTGTGATAGCCTTAGTGCGTCGGTTGAAATTAGCATATGTCGCAATGGTGTTGACTGCCCTTTATTAGCGAGAAAAACGTTACAATGGGATGAACTTACATGGTCTCTGAAGCCATAATCTTGTATCGTCGGTCCATTCGCTGTCCGATTCCATTTCGTAAATAAGAAAATACAATAGCTATGTTGAGATATAGATATCAAATGATTAAATGAAAGCCCGAAATATCGAAAACACCTAAAGAAAACATACGATTTCAACGCGGAACGTAAAAGAACGCGAAAACAAAGCTCCGGTAGTGGCCGGCGCAGCACACAACGCGGAGGAACGGCGAGAAACTGAAGGGCGGCTATGGCGGCAGGGTCACGTGGCGTCAAGATGGCGGCGCCCATGAAATGTTGCCTGAAAGGGTCTATAGAGGCTATGACATGACGGACCGCGCAGACGACAGGAGGAGGACTTGTCGCTACTTCGCATAGCCTTATCTAGGGACGTTTGCGAGCGAGCCATTTGCGGCGTTGTCCTAGAAAGATCTTACGTTTCTGGCATCTTCGATGAAGTGTCTGGATAGTGTTCACGAACGTGAAGTCACGTTTTGCCCGAGAACGAGCAGTCGGGATGACAAGTGTATGTGTGTGTGATGAAGATATATGACTGGTGTATATTTTTTTCTTTTATCGTTTCAAATAATAAATTTAGTTGCGAGTTCAGCTCTGTCCTGTCGTGTTCCTTCCTCTCTTCGTCGTACCCGTTTTTTTAAAGCTGATTTTCATCAACCATCTTTAATGATTACCAACTGGCGCAGTTTCCTACTTTGTTGCAAGCGCACATCCTCGCACCGTTACCACATGCGGCGTCCGCATGCGACGACATTGAAAACTAATTTACCAGCCTTGAAATATGCAAGAGCAACAATACCACTGTAAGATATCTGCGAAGATGAGCATGATTGATAAGCTGGTTGCATGCACAGTGCGAAAGACGCCTATTCTGATAAGGAACGTTTTCAGTACAATGAAACTCCATGGAGAACTTGGCGCGACTCGATTAGAACGAGCCCTACGAAGCTTCAAAGAATTGAATGGATCAAAATCGCGATTTCCCTGGAAACTGAGACCGACCAGCAAATCACCCGGCGAGGTTTGGCCGTCTGTGTGCTACTATCTGTTTGTGTCCGGCAAGCAGGCAGGGAAGGCAATTGTGCTGTTTTCTCAGGATCCAGTGACGTTAGTCCGAGCAAGAACGGCACGGATTCGCGTTTCATGTTTCACGAAGCCGTTCATCGCCGTCTCCGTAACAATAACAAGGGAGGCTAGCGTACACCACCCCTGCCCGTTTCGATCTGGATGAGCATCGTACCGGCGTGCGGTCGTGCATCACTACTGCGTGATGCACGTTAAAGACCCCGGGCTAGCGGTTATACTGCACTGGCTAAATTTATGATCTATAGTGGGTAACAATGTCGTCATGTTCTGGCAGATGAAACTTTCGTTGTATAAACAACTAACGATTAATCTGCTTGTGACTTAGAAACCGGAAAACAGGGTGGTTACAAGTGCTACCTAATATTGAACACTAAGACTTACAGAATTCGAATTACAAGTACAACTAAATTTGCACCTTTCGAGTTGAAAACATCGAAGGGCCTTCGGATGCCTTATTTGCCCTTGCACTCCAGTGCGTGGAAACGTCTCCGGTACTCGAGCTCGGCTCTCTATCGTAGATCAGTAAACTCAGTAAAACAAAGGCGCCAAATGTGACGAATGTAAAGTGCTGCAAAAAAAAAAAAAAACCTAATGTGGCAAGTAAATTGTATTGTATGTGTGTTCAGACAGCGGGAAGTTAGTCAGCCTTAGTGGGAGTCTGGTGTCTCAGCTGTAGATGAGAAATTTAGCCGGTGCAGCACAACCGCTAGCCTGGAGTCTTTGACGTGCACCATGCAGTAGGGATACAACAAACAACCGGACTTCACTAAAAAGGAAAAAAATTGTCGAGTGAACGCCGCTCGAGCCAGAAGTATGAACTCTAAAAAAAAGTATGATACACATTAGCATACGCGACCACTTATATTTTTATGCAGCGACTCCATTTTGTACTTTACTCATTTGGGCGCAGACATAAGCATAAATGCAATTATCTACAGCTTGAGGCGGGGTTATAATATACATGTACTAATCTAGCGAATTGGGCGAGTTGGTAAAAGTTATAAACGATGAAATCAACTCAAACGACGAAGACGACGTGAAAACAAGTGTTGGGCCAGTCGGTCTTAGAGGCCCCGTTCTAAGAAGCCCATTCCTAACTGCCAATCTCCACGTTCAAGAGTCGTGAAGGGAGGCATTGCCGTCGCTTGTCTTTCTTCGGCTCTTAAGTATAGTCGTGTACACACACGACATCAATCGACAGTCTCATGGCATGCAAGCGGGGAAACTAAGGGCGTCGGGGTTTGCGGTGACCCTTCTAAAAAAATTGCAAATTCCTTAAAAAAAAAAAAAAAAAAAAAGGCTAAAGGTGGGGAGAGGGTCGAAAAACAAATTGTCGGAAAGCGCATAATCATTGTTCCGTAGGTTCAACGCGTCTATCATAATCCGAAAAAAAGTAAGAGGGAGGTGCTCGCGGTGGTGTTCTCGGCACCTCCAAAATTCAGCTAAGTGTTGGTGATGCCTAGGGTTGGTGATGGGGACAGCCGTCCAAGAGCCAAATGCGTTACGGCGCACCGTAAACCGTTCGTGACTTGTGTTTCGTCCGTTGTTTACGAACTCCCCCCACCTTGTAAGAAGTTTTATGTTGCACAGACGGGCAGGTATCTGAATGATAGGTGGTTTAGGGTGCATTCATATTCGCCTGGGGCCGCTGTCGGAGGGCACTTGGCAACACAATGAAAGAAGTGCGAGCGTATGCATAATTGCGATAAAGTTGATGTACAAGTAAAAAAAAGAGGTATTACAGAAGCATCTTTTAATTTTCAGTTTGGGAGACCTATGCGTCAGCGCGCCGTCGGTAGCTCCGTTAGATAAAGAGGTTTGCTTTTTGCGAGCTAATATGAATAGCGTCGTTTGAAGTGTTTAAGCTCCGAAGATAATGTGGTGCCTGGTAGATGAGTAGGTTTTTGTTGATGTAATCTTTTTGGCTACATTCTTTTCTGTCTTTCTTTTCACTAATAGTTGTGAGTACAGCTTCGTCCTGTCGTGTTCGTTTCTTCGCTTAGTCTTCGTCATATGGATAAAGTTCCTACGTCACCTACCGGAGGCCAGCGCGAGGCAGCGATTGGATACGAGTGCCGCGTCAGCGTCCAATCAGCACCCCGCGCCGGCCTCTGGTAGGTGACGTATTTAAAACCCAGATCCCTGTCCTTGTCATCTGGGAGGTGTGTCTATCCGCGCTCGTACACTGTTCGCATAGGCCTTTGCAAAAATCGCCTTCTGTCAGCACCTCCTAGACAGCTTACAAGCCTGCGCGTCACGTGACATGACGTCACGTCCCGGAGGACTGCACGGGCGCTCATTAGACGCGAGTGCCGCGTCAGCGTTCGCGTGGGACTTGTTTCCTATCATAGTCTCACGCGAACGCTGACGCGGCACTCACATCCAATCAGCGCCCGTGCAGGCCTCCGGGACGTGACGTCATGCCACGTGACGCGCAGGCCTGAAAGCTGCCTAGGAGGTGCTGCTTCTGTGCGCTGCCATCTTTGTCTGCTGGGCTGTGGAACGCCTTCTGAGCATACGCTGTTCCTCTGCTGTGTGGTATATCGGACTCTGCGCATGCGTCCACAGCTCAGTGACTCAGCATTTTTTGCCCAGGTGGTAAGCGATGCAAGGGTCTATACGGGCAGCATAACAGCACTGCACAAGCGCAGTATAGCTCTGCGCTGTTTCGTAAATCAGCCATTCCGTCTGCTCGCGGTTCCCATACTCGCGGATCGCTTATTTATAAATGTCACACAACTTGTTTTTTTCTCAACATTACGAAAGGGACTTGTGTCATACATGAGTGCAAGTCACCCAGCGATTCCCACTACAGAACTTGATGGACGGACTTTGCGATAGAAGGGAAAAGTGAGTCCCGACTGGGCCGTAGCTGCTAGACATTTTACCTGGACGCAGTGGTGCATATAACAATGGCCGTCATACGGATGATCTATGCCTAACAACCGGTGAGGTCTGTGACGCGTAAGTAACTATAGTGTCTTCTCTTTTTTTATTTTTTTTTTTTGGTTTAAAATATGGGCGATACTGGAGTTTTAGATCACAATTTCATATCGGGAAGGTAAAATGAAGCATCTTTACCGCGAAATCGAGCATTTAGAAACGGGATTGGTGGCCGAGTGTGTTAGTGCACCGCAACTCGGAGAACGTGGAGCGAAAGCTCGCGTTGCAGAACCCAAAGATCCTGAGTTCAATCCCCCCCCCCCCCCCCCCCCCCCTCCCCATGCCCGTTTCGATCTGGATGAGCATCGTGCGGGCGTGCGGTTGTGCATCACTACTGCGTGATGCACGTCAAAGACCCCATTCTAGCAGTGGTATTCCCATCTACAGAAGAGGTTCAGTGTCGCTGCACCTCAAAGGCAGACCGACCTTAAGCTGTCTAAAAACGAAAGTCAAATTTGGTTTGTGGTCGATCATCCAGGAACTATACTGGAGCCAAAGTCACACGCACGATAGCTCGAGGTGGCTGCTTCGAAGCGTTCTTCCACAGAATGAGCACTCGCGCTAGAAATGCACGTCTCAAAGCCAGGAGCGCGGGCTAGCTCGCGCTTGTAACTTTGGCTACAGTCTCAGCTTAAGGGTGAAGAAAGTATAGAAAGCGCGGTTCTCACACAACAGTACCGCCATCGCTAAAAGTTGCGAACAGGGTGATAAAGAGTCTCCACTGACCGTTGTCGGTGTCGAATCCGAAGTCCCCGCCGTCGCACGACTCGAAGCACGACGACGAATTTGGTGACGCCTGCCCCTGCAGCAGCAGTAGCTGCTGCTGCTGCTGATGTTGCTGGTGGTGTTGGTGGTGGTGATAGTAGTGGAGATGCGACGGCGAGGCCGTGGCGGAACCGAACAGACCGGAGCCGGCGGCGGCCGAGCCGTGGGGCGGCGGGTGGGATGCGGCGCTTCGGCACCGGTGCGGCTCTTCGGAGACGCTGAGGCTGCTCAGGAAGACGGAGCCGTTCTTGCGGAAGCTCTCGACGAGCGAGTCGAGCGGAGACCCGTCTCCCTGGGACGACAGCAGGGGCAGCGCGGACTTCCAGCGCTGCCTCTGGAGTCGCAGGGACTCCATGACCGATCACGCCATCCCCGCACTGCTGCGGGAAAAGAAAGACAAAAGGGAAAGAAGGAAGAATTAACGGTTTTCATACGACGGACCTGTTATATATATATACGAGCGGAAGAAAGTCCGCCTGCAAACCGCTCGTTGTTTAGGTCAGCTCCATAGAGGAGATTTAAATGGACAATACTGTACGACTGATACAAAACGGTTATTAAAGATCCATCATGCAGTAGTAGTCAGTACTGAAGCGTAATTCGAATGATTTAAAGTAAATATAATTAAATAGGATTTTATGTTTGTTTACCGTATTTACACGAGTGGTAGACTCTGAACCACCGAACAAAGCGAGTATCCGAACCAAGCCTACGGGTCCGCTTTCCCGCGGAGCACGCGAATAGCCAATCACCGCGATCAACAGAGAGATGCCAGCGATTTATGGAAGAGAAATAAAGTTTTCACGCGAAAATGCTATCTGCGGCGATCGGATTTTCACGGAGGGTTGTGTCCTCAACCTCGTCATACGCCACATTATTTATTTATTTATTTTTATACAGAACGCGATGATTGGCTGTACGTATTGTTCTTAAGTAGTGCATTTCTTACTCGGGTAAATCCGACATCATATCTTTCTGGTGTAAACGTTGTGACGACAAAAGTAACAAAGAAGGCTCGATGTAAATTTGACAAAAAATAATATCTCATTTCACGTTATACTTGTGTCACTGGGGATTATTTGCAACTAACCTTTCGTGTAACGTTAAAACGCGCATAATGTTTGCCGCTTTTGAACGTGACGAAGCGTAGGACAAGTATCTAACGTGACTCGAAGCGTAGCTGCAAGTATTATGCGCATTCTAACGTGACTCGAAGCCTACGCTTCGAGTCACGTTAGAATGCGCATAATACTTGCAGCTATTCAGTAAACTCAATTGAGCAATATTACTAAAGTCAATGACATGATAAGAATACAGTGGTAGCTCCACCTCCAGCGAGAGCTTTCTGCCTTATACATGCGAATTCGCTGTTTACAAACATGCCCGCGTTTTTCCACACCATCTGCGCGTGCGCAAAAAAAAAAAAAAAAAAAAACAGTTTTTTTTTTTTTTTAGCTTTTTGACAGCAAGGTATACAAAAGCGCAAACTACAAGCTCGAGCTTGTAGCCTTCGCCGCAGTCCACGTCGAGGTGAGTCAGTCGGGAAGGCAATGCGCGCCACTCAGCGGCGATGTACGAAACCACGCTGCAACAGCGCCGATTCCAAAGAGGAAAAACAAAACAGAAACAAATCTAATTCCGCCAAGAAATCTGTCTTTTTTTCGGCTCGTCTTTCTTCCCCAGAAGATCGACTGTGAAGCCCGAACGAGACAAGACAGTCAAGAGGCGGAGTCGCCATCCCGAATCGGGAAACGATGTTTGCAGGCTAGCAGTCTCAGCTGGCGTGTCAGCTGTCACCCAAAACCCGAATAAAAAACTGATCTGCCACCCCCCCCCCTTTCCCCCTTCCCCCAATCCCCCTCTGTTTTCCTAACTCCCTATATCCATCGCATCTTCTTTTTTTTTTTTTTCTTTTTTTCCCTTTTTTTATCCCGAGGCGGTTTACGAGGAGACTGCTGCGTGTGGACGCTAGCTGTCCGTTGAATCGAGAGACAGATACAAGCGAAATATATGCTATACAAAAGCAAAACAAAAGCCGTTTTGGTGTTTCTTTCTAGCAGGGCTGTAAATTGAACGGTTTGAGCCTTGCGACGGGTTCGTTCTAAGATGAATGGAAATTGAATCCAGCAAAGTCAGAAACTCGCCCAAACTTAAAAGGGAAATGCTTTTTTTTTTTTTTTTTCGATTTGTCGTTTTTTTGTATATCGTTGACCTTTTTGTATCAAGACATATATTCGAACACGGGGGAACGTGTAAGCGTTTTCGGGAGCTTCATCGACGTTGATCCTATTTCTAAATGTGTGAAAAAAAAATAAAACACACACAAAAAAATGTGCAGAGGGGATTAAAGGAATCTCACATCCAATTCTGGAAGCAGATGAATATGGCCCGTTTAGATGGCGCATCGAAAGAGGTTTTCCGACTCGTGTGAAATGTACAAGAACGATCGCTTTCTTCAAACACGCCGTTTCTGGTGTGCCACGTGGGAACTTATTACTATAGGGTTACGTGTTTTCGATATATACCGATGAACCCCGAAAGTTGGACCCTGAGCCCGGTTTTATCGAAGTCGCAGAAAAACCGAAACACACCGAATCAGAGCTGTCCTTCAGTAATAATAAGAATAAAAAGAACAACAACAAGAATACTCTTTTACGGAAATTCATTTTTGTTTACAGCATTATTTTGTGTTGATCCAGAACACAGCCTACACTGAACTGTCCGTGAGGCTGATTTGTTTTTCCTGGAACCACGCCCCCTTCATCTTGTTTCCTTCTCTTACAGAGACGTGTTTCTTTCTTTCTTTTTTTTTTTTTTCAAATATTCGGCGTCACGCCATGTCCTCATTGAGGTTGGGGAATGCCCATATCCGTGTCTCGTTTTCTTGAACTTAAGCACCCATAAATTCCGACGCTACGTCAGACACCGAAAATAGATACCGAAATGCACCGAATTTGTAGGGGGAAAATAAACGCCGAGAAACACTTCCGAATTAAGGAGAACAAAATGAACGCCGGAAACACGGAACCACAACTTAGATAAAACAGACATTATATGAAATAACGACATCTGCCTGTGACATCGCTTAATCAACTTTCGTTTAGTGCTAAACAAACAAACGGATAAGTCCAGCTGTTCGTTTGTTGTTCGTCTGGAATGAGTTGGCAAGCGAAATCGCACAGACAACAAACCACGACACGTTGGTTTTATTGTCACATGTCTCGTTATCATGACATCTATTTTTTTTTTCTTTTCTAAGTAGCACGTGTACGTTTTGGTGCTTTAATATTTCCACTTTTAAATTTCATGATCGCCGAGTAAGTCTTTACTATAAGGTTTTCTACGTACCCTCTTTTTTGGTAGCACTTGTACATTTCTTCCGTTTTACTTTTTAATGACTAAGAACTTACTACATGCTGGTGTGCGTGACCATGCACCCTATATGTTACGCGTTACTGAGCTCTGTTAGCGTGATTACGTTTCCTTTTATATTTTCATACAATTACAACATTGTGCGACTATGATGACCATCCTATGTACCCTCCCCCCTTCCATGTAATGCCCCCGTGGGCCTTTAGAGGTAATTAAATAAATAAAAAGTATTAAAATCGTAAGTTAAGAATATGTGGTTTCCCTGTTAGAGCGATGCACACCTCCGAAAATCCTTCTCCCCCCCCCCCTCCCCCCTTTCTCTTTCTCGTCTCATGTTTCTTCTTTTTTTATTATTTCTCAGTTTTTGGTTAGTCCTGAAGACGAGACACATTGTGTCATATTTCTGTGCGGACACGCCTCAAGGCCTATTGTTGTCTGACTCTGACTGTCGCATCTTTTGCTCCATGCAAACAGGCGGAGGGGCGATATTGTTCCCTTCTTGGTTTTCTGCTTCTGTCGCGGGTCGAGCAGAAGAAGTGAAGTCGGCTCAGTGCGAAACGGAGAACGACCAGCTTTCTCCTTCATCCCTATCCTTTTTTCTTTCACCTCCTCCTCTTCCCTCTCTTCCTCCATCTCTTCTTTTGGTACTCGCTCGCAATCCGTACTCTCTCTTTCTCAGAAAAAAAAAAAAAGGAAAAAAAGCGCGCGTTTCCTCGTGATAAAAGCAATCTCCCCCCAGGGAGAAAACTGAAAAGCCGGATTCGAGCAAAACAAAACAGAAAGAAAAGGGGATATACACGTAAATACCAAAACAGGGAAGCAGAAAGGCAAATAAGGGAACGAGGGGAACTTATTGCCCTCAATTCGGCATCCGGAATGCACACACAAACACACACAGACACACGCTGGAGGCCGCGCTTAAAAGCGGGCATATACTTATCGATTGGTGGCGACTTGATGGAGGAGCCATTTTTTTGTTTCTTCTCAGCCGGGCGCTCTTTCAGCATCTACTTGAAGATAGTGCCTCCATTTAGGTGGCTTTTTTCTTGTTTAGTGCGTGTCGCTATCGTGCGTATCTGTCCCATTTTTATCTTTCCGGCATGAAAATGTCGTATGAAAACCGCCGCAGTCCCGCGTGCGCGGACAACTATATGGGTCAGGAAAAATGGTCGGGATCGTCGTATATATATATGTATATATACACTGTTTCAACCATCCAGTCGTTTTCGCTTTTGACACTCAAGTGCCGTTGTTCATGCTCAAAGGCCCACCTATGATGCTTTAGTGCGGAAGCGTCCGTCTTAAGCCGCGCATTCCTACTGCGCATATATCGTTCAACAGACGCAGTGTTCGCTGCAGAAATGACGACAATTATATGCGGAAACGCGTCAGGCATATGCTCGAAACACGCATTTCATACCATGTATGCATGCTTCAAAACATGCCTGCACTAGCATATATGTTCGAAACATGTTTGCTTCATACCATGTATGCATGTTTCAAAACATGCCTGCAAGCCACTTGTAAAAAAAAAATCATTAACGTATAGGACCGTTGTACCAGGAACAAACACGTCTCAGACACTGGGGAGTTTTATCGAGCCGTTTTTGCACATCCGATACGGTATACGATGGGCCCTCCGGTACGCACTGCGCGTGCGCTAACCACGAAAGACAGCCATAAGTGCATCTCGTAACGGAGGAGGGCCCGTCGTATACCGTACGGGATGTGCGCAAAAACGGTTCCCTAAAACTCTCTACCGTTCCACCTCACGTCCGTCCACGGCAGACCGCTACGAGCCATCTCAGCCAATCGAAGCTCTGCGAACGTAGCGCGCCTGATACGCCCTCTGCCTGTCACTCTGCACCCCCTCTCTCTCTCTCTAAGGTCACGTGACGACACTCGCCCGGCCTTGGATTGGCTTCGATGGTTTGTCGTAGCATCCACTGCGGTCGGTCGTAAGGTCCAGACCTTGTACGGCACTCATTACACGCAATCA